AAAGTCAAGACGTGATTGCCCACAATCTGCTGAAATATGGACTTCATCCAATGCACCGGGGGCAAGGTTCCACCCAATTGTTCTTTTCCCGCCGTCGATTATGAAAAACACCCCTCATGCAACAAACCTCCATCTGCCCTGGCCCACATCCAGGGCCTATTTGGCTATTTGCCAGTTCGGCCTGTGGGATCAGGCCGTGGCCGGACCCCACAGGCCGTGTGCTGTTCCAGTCCTGCCCGGTACCACTAACCGCACCAGTCTAGTCCAGTCTGTCAGTCCGCTGGGGGTATACCCCGGCTGTTGTCTTTTTTTCATCATTGTTCATTTTTGCACTGTTGAAGTATGTGCGGTGTTGAGTCTGCATCGGAACTGCGCTGTCCCTTCCAGCTCCATCTCCACTTCCTCCTTCCTCAACCCCTTCTTCTCCATCCTGTCGGACCGCCATCCCGGCGGGTCCGGTACACTGGTATCAGAGCAGGAACGGTCCCACTCCCACCCGCCCTGCCCCCCCCCGCACTTAGCAGCGGGAAACAATGTAATCCCGATAGCGGGATTTTGAGGGCTTTTCATGGCTTTTTCGGAGAAAAAGCAGCGAAAATCGGTGTCTTCGTAGGTTTAAATCAGTTTTAACCATGCCAAGCACTTGATGACCAATCACCCCTAACCTTTATGTCTTCGTAGGTTTGAATCAGTCTTACCCATGCCACACACTTGATGGTTGTATCGGTTGTAGGATTCCAGGACCATAGGAAATTGGACATACTAGCCCCCTTCAAGGCCCGACATTGCCCCTTCCGCAACCACATACCACATGATGGCAAGCAGTGAGTTGTTGATGAGGATGCCTTGGCCAAAGGCCCAGACCCACTCTCCCCATCCACCCTCTAGCTCTGGCTATGACTGCCACTACTAAATCATCTATCTGTAATTCCACTGCCCCCTCCGCCGCCATCATGACTCCTCTCAACAGAACCGGCACAGGACATTCTAGTTTCGATCTCGAACTCCAACCCCCACTTTCCAAAAATCCTTGGCACACCCCCATATCCGCACTTTCCTGGGCCCTCCCAGGTTGGCACTTCACAGCGTCCAGCGAAACCTGAAAGGCTGGCGCCGCCTGCCAAAATGTTTTTTTTTGCTTGCGCTGGCGGGTCGGTACAAATCGGCGCACAGGCCGTTTTCAGGCTCGGCATCGATAGTTGGACCAAGTATTGGTGGTTTAAACCACTGGTACTCTTTTGACCCTGTGGGTGCCAACCCTGAGAACCCGCAGTGCGCAAAAAAAAAAGAATCGGCACACGCCTTGTTTTGCCTGGTGCCGCCATCCATTTTGCTCCGGTAGGTCGATCCTCGAAACTTGCTACAGCATGCACGCACGCTTCATCGCAGAAAAATGACTATTAAACATAGTGGTGGATTAATTGTGCTTTGGTCAACCCCAACTTGTCTAATGCCCGACCAAGTATGATTTCACTGTACTCTTGGCTACACAAGAAATGACGTTAGGGCTTTCAATCTGGCTTTCAATCTCGATCCATCCCCGATGCAAGTCCAACAAGTCGAAGCTCGCATGCTAGATCTTCTCATTTTCGCAAGCTCGCATCATATCATCCTTGATTCTCGTAGGCAGGAACTGAGCAGAGGCCTAAGAAGTCTGGCTAGCGGCCTGCCTAGTCCCCTCGTGGATCGTGGAAGATGATAGTGACAGTGTGTTCCTTGAGCCTGTTCACAACTTGATCAGCCACACTCACTTCGAAACTTTGAATCTTCTCTCCCTTATTCATGCATCTGACTAGGGTCAATACCTGAAGAATCACCCCTACTTCATAGCACATCCTCATTCCTCACGAATTAAGGACTACGATCCTTATCCTCCCCAAGAGCCCCTGGGATTGAGAAGGAGATGTTGGCATCTCTCTTTACGTCTCTAAGAGATGGCCTTACAATCACACTATTGACTACACTTTTTTTTTTTTTTTTTTTTTTTAAGAAACTTCGTTATATGGAAAAACTACTTAACGAGGTGATAAGAGCATCCCCAGTAAGTAGGCCCCGACATCGAAGGCTCCATCTATTGGTGAGGAGCTACACCTGCTGGAAATCGATTTCAGGGTCCCTGTACAATTATGAGAATGTATTTGCTGGAAATCGGGTCTACCATCCCTATACGGTGATGTGAATGTATGTGCTGGCCCAACACCCCTATGCAGATCCACGCAACCCTAACAAAGTTGTGATACATGTGGTGTATGTAATGTATGTGTGATGTGTATGTGATGTATGTGTTGTATATCTATCAAAATCTAAACACAAAACCCTAACAATGATATGATGTGATATGTATCAAGACTAAGCACAAATCTCTACTAGTGATGAAATATGTGTGATATGATGCGTGTGAACTTTATCAATGATATAATCTGTCCGAATATTTCCAAGATGAACAGAGGCTTGATTACTACCCTACGACAAGGAAGGATTGACCTCGTGCCCATGAAGTATTATCCCATCTATAAAACCATCGACATCGATTACCCTAGGAAGGGAAACAAAGCAAAACTCAAGACCCTAAGCACCCTACATCCCCTTGGGGGCGATCGACATGCCTTCATGATTAGAGTTTCGAGGGTTGGTCAACTCTAATAAAACATGGGACAATGAAGAACAAGTCACCATGTAAAAACAGCAAATTGAAGGGGGGGGAGACGACAGATTGCTCCTTCAACCCCAAGCCCCATTTCGCCAGGCACATCCCGTCGTGCTGATGCTCTCTGCCATGCTGCTCCCGTGATCGTTGCTGTCGCCGTCGTCGCCGCTTCCACCGCCGTCATCGTTGTTGTCATCCTCGTAGTTGTTGTTGTTCTCATCTCCATATCTGTTGTTGTTATTGATCCCCACATCTCTATTGCCATCATCGCTGCCACCACCGTCACCGCTGACGCCATCATCGTAGTTGTTGTTGTTATCATCCCCATCGTCGTTGTTGTTGTTATCTGCCTCAATTCCCACCGCATCGCTGCTGCTGTGGATATCGCTGCCATTGTAGTCTTCATCGTTGTTAATGTAATTATTGACGTAGTTGTTGTTGTTGTTCTTGATGCTGACATCGTTGTCGTTGTGACCGTTGTTGTAGTTGTTGAAGTCGTTGTTGTCGCTGATGTTGTTGTTGTCATTGTTATTATCACTACGCCTATTGTTGTTGTTGTCGCTGTTGTTGTTGCAGTTGTTGTTGTTGTTAATATTGTTGTTGTTGTTGGTGGTGGTGTTGACGTCGGAGTTAGCCTTGTCTTCCTGCGCTCCATTCTCCTACCAGTTCTCATCCTCCTTGTTGTCATCGCCCATCAACCGCTCCTCCAGCTTATAGCGCAGGTTACGGCCCTCAGCGAAGAGGGCATAACAGGTAGACATCATGCCATGTGCCCTCGTCCAATCGATGCAGGATTCTAACTGGGGATCCGGCCCCTCCTCCAACTCCCAGATGATGTTCAACATGTCGTCGGCCATATTCTTCACCCAACCAGCCAGAGAGATCGCCCCCCCTACGTCCTCTGGCTCCTTGTGCGATCGCAAAGATAGCTCACCCACCATCACCTGTAACCTCCTGCATCCTTCTTCCAAGGTCATCAGCCAGTCATCTGCTCCTCGTTGTAGCTCCCCCCCCAACTCCATCTCTAGCCTAGATAGCTGCGCCCCTCTTGTGTTTCCGCTTCAACGTCACGGCTGGCGCTACCTCTGCCCGAGCGTCACGGGACGGCCACGTCATCAACAACAGGCGCCACGTGCGACTGTCCGGCGCGCGCACAGGCCTAGCAGCCGAGGAGCTTCCCTCCCCAGGTGCTATTTTGCCGGAGGGACCGGGCCTTGCCGGTCCGCCAGCGTCAGGGCACTAGCGCTAGGTGGTATGAGAACCGCCAGGATTGAGGGCTCGGCTGCTGGGCTGCTCCATTTATTGGTGGGGAGCGACACCTGCTGGAAACCGGGTCCAGCTTCCCTTAGAAAGAGCAACTCCCTCTCACTAGGGCACAAGCTGTAGGAATGAGCAGCAGCAGTCGTGTAACTTCAGCATAGGTGGTCTTCTTGTCTTACAGCAAGTAACAAAGGCCCTCCCCCCCGCTGTTGGCCATGGGTTCTTCGTACCCCACCTGGGACTCCCTGGGGAGGCCTTTTGACAAAACCAAAAGCTAAGGAGCACATCATACCCGCCGTAACGTTATCACGTCGGTCCAAGCGCTAACGCGCCGGCGGGCCCCCCCCGGTAGGCCCTACTTCACTTCATTTTCCGTAGAGGCTTTGCATATGCTGGGATTCTGCTTTCTTGCGCTGCCCAGAAACGAAAAAGGCGCCCAAACGGTTTCCTTCCCGTGGCTGCCCGAATGGGCTGTGTTCAAACAGCCGTCGCCTTAGCGAATCTCTCTCAGAGGTGTTGTGCGTGAAGACGTGGAGAGTTCGGTTCAGACTCGGGCCCGAAAACGCAATAGGTGGGTTCGCGTGCTGTTTTCTCTCTCTCTCTCTCTCTCTCTCTCACACACACACACGCACACACACACGCGCACACACACGCGCGCCCGCGCCCGCGCCCGCGCCCGCACACTCTCTCTCTCTCTCTCTCTCTCTCTCTCTCTCTCTCTCATTACGCAGTCACTCACTCGAAAACATCGGAAAATAGAAAGCGCACCAGTCCAGTGAGTGAATCATCAATTGAATCAAATTGAGGTGAAGAAAGACGACTTCAGTGAGGGAGTGATCAACTCAATCACATTGAAGCCAAAAAGGTGGGATATTTAACTAAATCAAAGTGGAATCATTTGCTAAAATTCTCGTTGAAATTAAAAAAAACATCTCTCTCTCTCTCTCTCTCTCTCTCTCTCTCTCTCTCTCTCTCTCCATTATTTAGGACTGCAACTCCATTTTTGGTGGGGGTGCTATGTCGCAAGCGGGACAGGATTTGTGCACGGCCGCCATCGGAAGCACTAGACGGGGATCATGCCGTGATGGGAATGCGGAGAGGCAGGAGGAGAAGGAACGCTACGGTAGGGGAAGTTCAGGGCCTGGTCAGGCAGGGAGGACAAGGTGAGAGGCCTGCGCTTGCGCTTGGAAATGGAGGAACAGTGGGAGAAGAAGATCGTCATCCAAATCGTGAGGGGCTGGAGTAGCAGGAGAAGGATGAAGGGGGAGAGGGTCAGGATGAGGCATCGGGAGGATGAGAGGATCGGGATTTGGTCGGTCAGGATGAGAACGCGGCCACAGAGAAAGCAGAAGGAGAAGGGGAGTCACGGCGAGAGGGTGAAGCATGCCGGCGGTAAGATTGCCGTTGCCGGCGTCAAGCAGGTTCACCGGACAGGGAAGACGTCGAGGAGGATCGGGCGGGAAGTAAATGGGAGGAGGAGGACACGTCGAGGACGACCTAATCCGTGAAGAAGGGGGTGGGCAGGTGTGATTTGGAGGGGCCGATCAGGGTGTGGGAGGGGGAGGGGGAGGAGGTCGGAATGTCAGCCAGTCATGGTGAGGATGTACTACGTCGCGGACCGGATTTGTGAAGTAGGGGATGGACAGCGCGGGATTGGAGGAGGGGGGGGGGGGGGGGGGGGGGGGGGGGGGGGGGGGGGGGGGGGGGTCAGGGTGTGGGATCGAGAAGGGGAGAAGGTCGAAATGTCAGCCAATCACGGTGAGGATGTAGGGATGGACCGATGAAAGAACGCCAAGGCAACAGGGTAAGAAATGCGGTCGGTCGTGGACGGGATCCAGACAAGATGGGGAAGAAGAGGTTGGAAGGCAGTAAAAGAGGCTCGGCGCTGAGGGAGGGGAACAGGCTATAAGGAAAGGAGAGAGCAGGATAATGACGAAAGGGCCTGAATCACGAGAGGGATCGGGTAAATGTGGATATGCGGGTGATGGGGACAGAGAGCAGTGAAAAGAGAAAGAGCGACGGACGAGAGGAAGCGAGGAAGAGAGGAAGAGAGGAAGATAGGAAAGGACATACCAGATTGGGAGGGGCAACATCGAGTATTAGAGGAGTAGGAGATTGGAGGAGTAGGAGATCGGAAGGGATCCCAACGGAGGAGAGAAAGGGGTGAAGAAAGGCGGGAAGATAGAGGGGACAAACACAGGGGAAGGAGAAAAGATGATGGGGGAAATAAACGGATCGGTGGCGTGAACTTCGGGAAGGGGGATGCAGGGCACAAGTAGAAAGACGGGATCGAACAGGCGTAAGGGAAGCGATGGAGAAGAAGAAAGGGAGAAAAGCGAGCGGGTAGGGGGGAGAGAGAGAGAGAGAGA